TACATTCACAACTTAGAGTGTGTAAAACCTAGAATAGTGTACATAGTAAATGTTTGATTCCTTTTATCCGTAAGTTTATTTTACCATCTTCCTATTTTTCTGACCTTGTGGAAACAACCTGAGGACCAGAGTATTAATGAGATGTTATTGCAGAAGAGATTCTGAGAAAATTGGTATATACTGAAAATACCATAGAAAATCTTCTTGTAATGTAAAAAATGCAGTTTTGTTGTGCTTGAACCTTAACTGGTTAAGTGAATAGTAAAGGGATTGGAGAAAAGAAAATAACTCTGAATCTTAAAATGTTTTCTACTTAAAAAAATTACAATTGAGATAATCTTTAGTTAAATGTATACATAACAGTCAAAATAGAATAAGATAAACATGAAAGTCAATGTAAAAACAAAGGAGTAGTAAAGTCTAAACAATATTCCATCTTTCTAATATATACCATTTCTCTCTCTCAACAGTTTGAGTTAAAAATATAGGAAAATCTGACTTTGGAACTATTTCTCTGGGAAAACACTTTGGCTCTTGGCGACTTTTTGCTGAATGAGTGACCTGCTTCCTGCACACGGCCATAAGAATCCCTGGAGAGCTGAAGGTCTGGGGAGGCATAGAGAGAAGGCTGAGAAGGCGGTCTCGCCCTGCTTTCCTACACCTGGAAAGGGAATTTCCAGTCCTGAGGAGGACAGGAAAATGCTGCCACCACGGACACAGATGCCTACAGCATGAGCTTTAAAACAGGAAGGAAAAATAATATTTTTATAAAAACAGGAAGAAAATGGAAGTCACAAGGAAAAGTCCTTTGTTGGTTTATTATCTATATGTTTTTGTTCCCATTTTTTCAGTGATAGCTCTAGGGCTTACAATATGCACCTTCAGCTTATCACAGTTAAATCATAGTATGTGACTGTGAATAACATAAGAGCTTTACAACAATACACACCCATTTTCTCTATTTCTAAAAATAAAATATTTCTATTTGTTATAAGCACCACAATACATAGTTTTCCTCCTTTAAAATATTAAGAATGATTTTTAGCACAGTGGAGGAAGTTGTGCTACCCCGTGGAGCACAGCACCACCATGTCGAATGTTTCCTCTAAGATTATGCTGATAGGCCGGGCGCGGTGGCTCAAGTCTGCAATCCCAGCACTTTGGGAGGCCGAGGCGGGCGGATCACAAGGTCAAGAGATCGAGACCATCCTGGCCAACATGGTGAAACCCCGTCTCTACTAAAAATACAAAAAATTAGCTGGGCGTGGTGGCACGCGCCTGTAGTCCTAGCTATTCGGGAGGCTGAGGCAGGAGAATTGCTTGAATCCGGGAGACGGAGGTTGCAGTGAGCCGAGACTGTACCACTGCACTCCAGCCTAGCGCCTGGCCACAGAGTAAGACTCTGTCTCAAAAAAAAAAAATATGCTGCTGTTGAAACTGCGGCGGCTGTACAAAGTACTTAGTGTTCCTGAAAGTACACCTTTCACAGCAGTCTTAAAGTTCGCAGCAGAAGAATTTGAAGTTCCTGTGGCAACAAGTACAATTATTACCAACGAAGGAATAGGAATAAATCCTGCACAGACTGCTGGTAATATTTTTCTAAAATATGATGCGGAACTGCGGATTATTCCTAGAGATGATGTTGGAAGTTGTTAATATCTGCTACTTGGAACATATGATTGCCTTTCAGAATAAATATTGGTATTTTTTATGGTTGTAAAATTGAAATCAGACATTTAACATACTATGACAACACCAAGAGTCAATGAATTATGAAAAGTGACTCATCTGTCCCTTTTTGTTGTCTATAGTCTTCACATGAAGAGGGAATGCATATAAATTAAGGGTATTAACATCGCAGATTATACAGTCTTTGATTGCTGCCTCATAACACAAACAGGTAGTTCACTGGGGATAAATGAATTACTCATCTGTGTTAACTGGAAGCTTCTGATAATTTTTAAAGAACAATTTGAAAGATTAAATTTTACTGAATCTTATATATTCGTCTGAGTTAAAAATATAAAAAGAATTATGGATCCTGGATGGCAATTTTCTGGATAGCATCTAATATGCAGACTCATAGTTTGATTTTTTAATTAAATATATAGGTTATGATGAACTCAATAGACCTATCAGTGAACAGTTAACTATATTAAATTGTTATCATTTGCTTTTTTAAATATTCAGACCTCATATACTATATAAATTTCAATTTAATATCAACCAAAAAATTAAAATTTTAATCTAACCCTTATGTGTATAATTGATTTCCCATACCAGGTTTTAATGTTGAATTTGCAGAATCCAGTACTTGGAATGGTGGGAATTCACAATAGAGTAGAAGCATCCTTTTCTGAGTTATACATTCCTTTATCAATCTCTTTTGATATAACTTTAAAACAAGTATCTTCAAGAATTGATGTTCTGACAATAATATTACTAAATAGTATTAGGAAGATAGTATTACTGCACAGAAGATCTGAAGATCAAAAAAGTTTCAAGAAAATGAAGATCGGATGTGCTAACCAGTCATATTTGTTGAAGACCTAACTTTTAAGGAAGTGCGAAGATTAGTCACCCATGTGAATAAGAAGCCAGAAAAGGAAAGATGGGGAAGCCCAGATCACCAGGCTTCTGTTAAGGAGGAAAGCAGCAGAGGAAAACAGTGCAGGGGAACAGAAAGCTGTAGGAAAGTGTTACAGAAAAGTTGACTGGATATACAAAACCGCAGGAGGAATATGTTGGGGAGAACTGAAAGGGAAACCAAAATTCTTAACATAGTCTTGATTAGTAGAAGTCAATTAGAGAAAACAAAGTATCTGCTGGCCTTATCAACATACAGATTTCAAAATACCCCTTATGAGAATCCAAAGAATGATGTGTGTAAGGGAAGATTTTCTTTGCCCTTCCAGAAGAAGTGTATCTGTGCAAATCTTGGAAGATGAAATTAAAGCTCATAATGATACAGAATCAGTGCTTGACGTGCTGTATCCTAAATGTTGAACTCTGGGAGCAGGGATTGTGCCTGGCTCTTTTCAGAGCTGGAAATGTAGTGGCTTTCATTAAACACTTGCTGTAAAGTCTCTCTAAGACCAATTAGTATCTTAGCATGTTTCACTATCTTCTCTATCATAGGCCTTAGTTTCATTGGGGAAACAAAATATAAGAAAATTCAACAGTATCAGCATTTGAAGTGTGCCATTGGTAGTTGTTTATAAAGTTACCAGATATTCATAAATGTGACAAATGAATAGCAGGATTATGAATTCTCAAAGGAAAAAATATTTGCTGAGGTGAAAAAATCTGATGTTTAAGGAAGTTTTATTTTTATAAACAAAATCTGATGTTCAAAGCTCTCTGTTTCTTACAATAAATATTGAGTTTTAGTTAACCAGAAATTTATGAACACCCATTTCCTGACTTTTTGCTTTAATTTAGACTCTTCTCCACTCTGTTTCCAGCACAAAAGTTTGCCTGCTGTGTTGCAGAAATGAATTTATGCTGTCCTGTGCCATAAGGTGATATATTTAATATTTTTATTCTTTGGTTTTGAAAATTGTATTGTAAGCTCCTGAAAACTTTTTGTTAAACGACTAGACATTCTGTAGTTAAATAAATGTGATCTGCAATTTCTTTGTGCAGAATGATTTGAAGTATTGTATTTAGTTTACATGCATTATGGGTTCATAGTTCATATCTAATGAAAACACATTTTGTTATACTGTAAAAAAAGAATAATTTTAACAGTGAAAAAGAGAATTTTTATATTTAAGTATTTATGATCTTCTGTACTCTTCATTCTTTTTGTAGATCTGAGTTTCATCCAGGTATCGTTTTCCTTCCACCTAAAGAACTTCCGTTAATAATTTTTCATAAGAAAGATCGGCTGGTGACAAATTCCTTCAGATTTTCTTTTTTTCTTTTGTCTGGAGTGATTATTTTGCCTTCATTTAGGCAGGCCCTTTTTTTGGTGGTTGTTATAGGATCCTAGGTTGACAGTCTTTCAGCGCTTTATAGATGCATGGTTCTGGATTTGATATCGGTTTGTGCAAAAGAGCTGTAAACAATACATTAAAAAATGGAGAAGTTGGAATATGAGAATATGAAGATTTACTGAAGTGAAAAGGTGGTCATTGAAAGAAAGTGGATTATGAAACAGTATGAACATTATGACCGCATTTCAACAAACGTGCGTTACATACACATATGTGTAACATATATAAACGTGAATCATATATACATTGTATATGTATACTGTAATCCGTTTTATTTTCTCACTTTCGCCTCCACGGGAGCTCATATTAATCAGTCCAGCGTGAACCGCGGCTCCCACCCTTGGGCCAGTCCACGTCAGTGAGAACTGGGCCTCTCAGGCAGGGCCGCCCGGGGCATCCGCGAGGGTCCCGCAAGGCTGGCAGCACGGAGCCCGGCCCAGGGCGGGGGAGTTGGCCAAAGAGAGGAGGATTACAAAATCCAAATACTCGGACCGAACCCCGGCAGGTGCTAAAGGCTGCGGCGCGGCAGAAAAGCAGAACGCTGGCTGGTTTTGCTCATATCAGGAGCAGCGTGACGGTTAACGGGGTTGACAGAGCACAGCGCACCCGCCACGGTCAAATCCCCACTCTGGCACTGCTCTGCGGAGCCTGCCTCGGCCTCGGGCTCCAGAAACCCAGCCAGAAACCAAGCGCGGCCCAATGCGCACACCTGCCGCATTTTGGCAAGGGGTCGGGGTCTGGAACAGAAGCAGAGGCCCAAATTCTTGCCCCGGTCTCCAAGACTCACTTTCTGGGGTGATGGGGAGAGAAGCCCGCTTGGAGTCTGGGCAATTCGAGCGGATTGGAAGGGCAAAGCTTTGGAGAGCTCAGCTGGACCCTTCGAGGAGGGGTCCCGGGAAGGTGGGACCGCAGGCGCCGGGAGAGGTGAGGGTACAAGGAAGGAACCGGTCTACCCTGGTAAAGCGAAGAAGCCGAAGGCGGCGCGGGCCTGGGAAGAAGCTCTTTTGTCTTTCTTCACAATCTTTATTCTTTGTTGTATTGTAATTCAGACAGATGAATAGATAGACGACGGAGAGGGAGGAAGTGAGGGAGGGAGCGAGGAGTCTGGGAAAGGGCGGGAGACAGGGGGTGGGAAAAAAACTCCCAAATCCCCCAAACTAAGAGCCATTTGGAAACAATCAGGAAGTTGGAAGCTTCTAGACAATTTAACGCGGCAAAGAGTTCGCGGGCTTAGTAGGCCCTCCCATTGGCGCGTCCATCCCCTGGTGGGCGTGCCTCGGTTGGCGCCAACTCGATAGTGTATAAGTACTCGCCCTTGGAGCCTCCAGGGAAACGCGAAGTGGGCTACGAGCTGGAGCTAGAGAGATCAGAGAGGGTCCCTGCTCTTAGCCTGGGACTGCGGAGCTCCCGTTTCTACCAGTACTTCAGGATCTAGTCCAGCGGAATCCCTGTCGGGCCCTAACTCGGATGCCAGGTTAGAGAAGAGTGCAGCACCCGCCCCACTCCCATGCTCCCCAGTCAGGAGTTGGGGTGTTGGAGGGTAGGGAGGGGCTGGCGTGGAGTGGAGTGGGGGTATCTGTGTTTTTCTCCCCTCCCTGGGAGCCCAGCTAGTTTGCCCAGCAAGTTCCCTAAAAAGCCAGCAATGGAGGACTGGGTGGTGGGACGGGGGTGAGTGATGGGGGTGGAAGGCATTGGGGGCGTTGGGGGCCTGACCTGTGCACCTGCTTCCGCTGTAAGCTGGAAGAGCCCCTAGCCAGCGAGCCGCGGTTTAGGACCTGAAACCTGGGAGACCATTGGGTCAGGTGCACCTTGGTGGCTCCAAGGGCTGAAGGTCTCAGGTTTCAGAATTGTAGACTTGAGAAACTAGTTCTACAGGTGTCTGCATGAGTGACCAACCACTGTAAATTATTGTCCTTAATATAGGAGCTAAAAAGCAAAATTAGAATGGTCATTACCCTGTGGGGAGGTTTATAATCTAGAGAGGGGAGAAATGAGAAAAATGTCTCCCTCTGGATAAGATCTGTAGACTACACGTGCTACAGATGTGTCTGAGAAGGACAAAGAGCTCTATGTTTTAGTTTTCCAAAAGGGCATGTCTGTCGCAGCCCACTTCCCTTTCTTTTCTTTTTTTTTTTTTTAAATTAATTTTCAATTTCTGTGGGTACATACTAGGTGTATATGTTTATGGGTTACATGAGATATTTAATACATCTCATGCAACCCATAATAATGTTTAATATAATGTTCAATAATTACATCAGGGTAAATGGGTAATTACATCACCTCAAGCACTTATCCTTTTTGTTACCAACAATCTGATTATGCTCTTTAGTTATTTTATTTTATTTTTGTAGGTACATAGTGGATGTGTATATATGTGGGGTACATGAGATGTTTTGATATAGACATGCAAAGTGAAATAAGCACATCATGGAGAATGAGGTATCCATACCCTCAAGCATTCATCTTTTGAGTTGCAAACAATCCAGTTACATTCGTTAAGTTATTTAAAAATGTACAACTAAGTTATTATTGACTGTAATCACCCTGTTGTGCTATCAAATAATAGGTCTTATTCATTCTTTCTAATTTTTTTGTACCCATTAGCCCTCCCCACCTCACCCCTTCCCTTCCACCACCCTTCCTCAGGTAACCATCCTTCTGCTCTTAGAACACAATTGTTTTGATTTTTAGATGCCACAAATAAGTGAGAACATGCAATGCTTGTCTTTCTGTGCCTGGCTTGTTTCACTTAACATAACTCCAGTCATTCATGTTGTTGCAAATTATTGGATCTCATTCTATTCTATGGCTAAATAGTACTCCACTGTGTATATGCACATCATTCTCTTTATTCACTTGTTGATGGATGCTTAGGGTGCTTCCAAATCTTACTATTGTAAACAGTGCTGCAAGAAACATAGGAGAAGAGAGCAGCACCCGCCCCACTCCCATGCTCCCCAGTCAGGAGTTGGGGTGTTGGAGGGAGGGAGGGGCTGGCTATTTCTTGGATATACCGTTTTTCTTTCTTTTGGGTCAATACTTAGGAGCAGATTGCTGGAGTGTGTGGTAGCTCTATTTTTAATTTTCTGAGGAACCTCCAAAGTGTTCTCCATAATAGTTGTACTAATTGACATTCCTATCAACATTGTATGAGGATTCCCTTTTCTTCACATCCTCGCCAGCATTTGTTATTTCCTGTCTGATGGATAAAAGCCATTTTAACTTGGGTGAGATGATATCTCATTGTAGTTTGCATTTGAATTTTTCTGATGATCAATGATATTGAGCACCTTTTCACATGTCTGTTTGCCATTTTTCTTCTTTTGAGAAATGTCTGTTTAAATCTTTTTCCCATTTTCAATAGGATTATTATATTTTCCCCATAGAGTTGTTGGAGCTTCTGATGTATTCCGGTTATTAATCCTTTGCCGGATGGATAGTTTGCAAATATTTACTAGCATTTTTTGGGTCTTTTCACTTTGTTGATTGTGTTCTTTGCTGTGCAGAAGGCTTTTAACTTGATGTAATTCCATTTGACCACTTTTGCTTTGGATTGCCTGTGCTTGTAGGGTGTTACTCAATGAATTTTTGCCCAGATCAATGTCCTAGAGATCTTCCCCAATGTTTGCTTGTAGTAGTTTCACAGTGTGAGGTTGTAGATTTAAGTCTCTAGCCCATTTTGATTTGATTTTTATATGTGACAAGAGATGTGTCTGGTTTCATTCTTCTGCATATGGATATCCAGTTTCCCCAGCACCATTTATCAAAGAGAATGTCTTTTCCCCAGTGTATATTCTTGGCACCTTTGTCAAAAGTGAGTTCACTGTAGATGTGTGGATTTGTATCTGGGCTCTCTATTCTGTTCCATTGTGTCTTGTTTTTATGTCAGTATCATGCCATTTTGGTTAACATAGCTCTGTAGTATAATTTGAAGTCAGGTAATGTGATTCCTCCAGTTTTGCTCTTTTTGCTTAGGATAGCTTTGGCTATTATAGGTGTTTTCTGGTTCTATATAAATTTTAGGATTTTTTTTCTATTTCTGTGAAGAACGTCATTGGTATTTTAATAGACGTTGCATTGAATCTGTAGATAGCTTTGGGAAGTATGGATATTTTAACAATACTGATTCTTACAGTCCATGAACATGGACTACCTTTCCATATTTTGGTGCCCTCTTCAATTTATTTCATCAGGATTCTATAGTTTTTATTGTAGAGATCTTTCATTTATTTGGTTAATTCCTAGGTATTTAATTTTATTTGTGGCTTTTTTGAGTGGAATCAATTTATTTATTTATTTATTTTATTGCATTTTAGGTTTTGGGGTACACATGCAGAATGTGCAAGATAGTTGCATAGGCACACACATGGCAGTGTGTTTTGCTGCCTTCCTCCCCTTCACCCACATTTGACATTTCTCCCCAGGCTATCCCTCCCCAGCTCCCCCCACTGCTGTCCCTCCGCTGTTCCCCCCAACAGACCCCAGTGTGTAGTACCCCCTTCCCTGTGTCCATGTGTTCTCATTTTTCCTCACCTGCCTATGAGTGAGAATACGTGGTATTTCATTTTCTGTTCTCCGGATTCATTCATGTCCCTACAAAGGACACAAACTCATCATTTCTGATTGCTGCATAATATTCCATGGTGTATATGTGCCACATTTTCCCAGTCCAGTCTATCATCGATGGGCATTTGGGTTGGTTCCAGGTCTTTGCTATTGTAAACAGTGCTGCAATGAACATTTGTGTGCATGTGTCCTTATAGTAGAACGATTTATAGTCCTTTGGATATATACCCAGTAATGGGATTGCTGGGTCAAATGAAATTTCTATTTCTAAGGCCTTGAGGAATCGCCACACTGTCTTCCACAATGGTTGAACTAATTTACACTCCCACCAACAGTGTAAAAGTGTTCCTATTTCTCCACATCCTCTCCAGCATCTGTTGTCTCCAGATTTTTTAACGATCGCCATTCTAACTGGCGTGAGATGGTATCTCCATGTGGTTTTGATTTGCATCTCTCTAATGACCAGTGATGATGAGCATTTTTTCATATGTTTGTTGGTCTCATGTATGTCTTCTTTTGTAAAGTGTCTGTTCATATCCTTTGCCCATTTTTGAATGGGCTCGTTTGTTTTTTTCCCGTTAATCTGTTTGAGTTCTTTGTAAATTCTGTCAGATGGGTAAACTGCAAAAATTTTTTCCCATTCTGTTGGTTTCTGATTCACTCTAGTGACCTGTTTCTTTTGCCGTGCAGAAGCTGTGGAGTTTGATTAGGTCAAAATTTGTCTATTTTGGCTTTTGGTGTTTTAGTCATGAAGTCCTTGCCTACGCCTATGTTCTGAATGGTTTTGCCTAGATTTTCTTCTAGGGTTTTTATGGTGCCAGGTCTTATGTTTAAGTCTTTAATCCATCTGGAGTTAATTTTAGTGTAAGGTGTCAGGAAGGGGTCCAGTTTCTGCTTTCTGCACATGGCTAGCCAGTTTTCCCAACACCATTTATTAAACAGGGAGTCCTTTCCCCATGGCTTGTTTTTGTCAGGTTTTTCAAAGATTGTATGGTTGTAGATATGTTGTGTTGCCTCCAATGCCTCTGTTCTGTTCCATTGGTCTATATCTCTGTTTTGGTACCAGTACCATGCTGTTTTGATTACTGTATCCTTGGAGTATAGTTTGAAGTCCAGTAATGTGATGCCTCCTGCTGTGTTCTTTTTGCTTAGAATTGACTTGGCTATGCAGGCTCTCTTTTGGTTCCATATGAAGTTCATGGTGGTTTTTTCCAGTTCTGTGAAGAAATTCAATGGTAGCTTGATGGGAATAGCATTGATTCTGTAAATTACTTTGGGCAGTATAGCCATTTTCATGATATTAATTCTTCCTAACCATGAACATGGAATGTTTCTCCCTCTTTTTGTGTCCTCTCTTATTTCGTTGAGCAGTGGTTTGTAGTTTTCCTTGAAGAGGTCCCTTACGTTCCTTGTAAGTTGTATTCCTAGGTATTTTATTCTTTTTGTAGCAATTGTGAATGGCAGTTCGTTCTTGATTTGGCTCTCTTTAAGTCTGTTATTGGTGTATAGGAATGCTTGTGATTTTTGCACATTGATTTTTTATCCTGAGACTTTGCTGAAGTTGCTTATCAGTTTCAGGAATTGAGGCGATGGGGTCTTCTAGGTATACCATCATGTCATCTGCAAATAGAGACAATTTGGCTTCCACCTTTCCTATTTGAATACCCTTTATTTCTTTTTCTTGCCTGATTGCTCTGGCTAGAACTTCCAGTACTATATTGAATAAGAGTGGTGAGAGAGAGCATCCTTGTCTAGTGCCAGATTTCAAAGGGAATGCTTCCAGTTTTTGCCCATTAAGTATGATATTGGCTGTTGGTTTGTCATAAATAGCTTTTATTATTTTGAGATACGTTCCATCCATACCGAGTTTATTGAGGGTTTTTAGCATAAAGGGCTGTTGAATTTTGTCAAATGCCTTCTCTGCGTCAATTGAGATAATCATGTGGTTTTTGTTTTTGGTTCTGTTTATGTGGTCAATTAAGTTTATAGACTTGTGTATGTTAAACCAGACTTGCATCCGCAGGATGAATCCTACTTGATCATGATGGATAAGTTTTTTGATATGCTGTGCAATCGGTTTGCCAGTATTTTATTGAAGATTTTTGCATCTATGTTCATCATGGATATTGGCCTGAAGTTTTCTTTTCTTGTTGAGTCTCTGCCGGGTTTTGGTATCAGGATGATGTTGGACTCATAAAATGATTTGGGAACGATTCCCTCTTTTTGGATTATTTGGAATAGTTTCAGAA